ATTACAGGTGCCTGCCACCACACCTGGCTATTTTTTTTTTTTTTTTTTTTTGTATCTTTAGTAGAGACATGGTTTTGCCATGTTGGCCAGGCCAGTCTCGACCTCCTGACCTCAGGTGATCTGCCCGCCTCAGCCTCACAAAGTGCTGGGCTTATAGGCATGAGCCACTGCACCTAGCCTAATTATCTCAATTTTAAATGTTACTCCTCCACCCCTTTTTTTTTCAAACTCTGGTCTTCCCCTGCCTATTCAACTAGAATTTAATGTGAGATATCAACTGATTTGGCACATAACTATACACTTAGTGACTTTGAGATTCTGTGAAGAAAGAGCACCTCAATTTCTATACAAATTTGAAAACCATAATACTAAGAGTTGAGAAATAAAAATTGATCTGCCATGGCAGATCAATTTCCTCAATCAGTTACAACCCTGTTACAGAGAGGAGAAATAAAAAATTAAATTAAAAATAAGAAATTTTAATAAATGATGAAAAAGGCAGTCAAGCAAGTTCTACAGGCGATCTGTGAAAGGAGTGAGATCATTAGAGAAGTGAAATAGTAATGAAAAAGGAGGCGATTCAAAAGGTTTGAAAGAAAGAAGTATTCAATATGGCTAGGAGAAAAGGGGGCAGCATTGTGGCAATTTCAGGCTGTGCTATGATGTTGCTACTGCAGATCTGTGAATTTTATCTAGCAAACTCACAGTGGTTAAAAAGAGAGTTGTGATATAAGAATTTTAAGTCAGGTAACACACACAAATTCTCAATTTAATGCATTTCAGTCTAAGCTCAATGTCGTGTAAGGTAAAACCTTCAATAAACAGAAACTAAGCCATAAGATCTCTTACCAATGATAGAAAATATGTGAAATCCAAGTCCTTATAAGGAACTAGAACTAGAAATCCCATTTCCTGGGGCTCATGCCTGTAATCCCAGCACTTTGGGAGGCCAAGGTGGGCAGCTCACAAAGCCAGGAGATCAAGATGAGACTAGCCAACATGGTGAAAACCCAGCTCTACTAAAAATACAAAAAAATTAGCCAGGCATGGCAGTGCAGACTTACAGTCCCAGCCAATCAAAAGGCTGAGGCAGGAGAATTGCTTGAACCCAGGGGGCAGAGGTTGCAGTGAGCGACATCGCACCACTGCACTGCAGCCTGGTGACACAGCAAGACTGTCTCAAAAAAAAAAAGAAAGAAGAAAAGAAATTCTAATTTCCAATCCATATTGAAGAGTTGGTACCAAAAAACATGCATAGATGTTTTTCTATGCATGGCTCTTAAGGCCAGGTAATCTTTTCCTTTCAACTTATCTGAATTGTAATCTTAAACCAGAACAAATTAGACTTCTGCTGATTTATCCCACTCCTAAACTCTTATAATTATGGTTTGCTGGAAGAATGTTATCCAAATGGTGTCCTCTCTATGTATTTCAGGTCTCAATAACAGGAAAAAAAAAATGTTTTTATCCAGTGGACACTAAATCCTATGGATTATCCCCCTTTGCTTTGGCCACAAGAAAACTCAAAGGTAGTATTTGCAACCTTTTTCTAACAAATGAATGAACAACCTAGTTTGCATTTCCAGAAGGAAATGTTACCTCAGTTTATTATTCTCTTGTATCTATTTTTCTTCTTCGGACTCCCTTACTTGGCCCCCTGAATTTTTTTTTTTCCTAAATTGCCCCAAATCCTTTGTGTGAAATAAGCTGGAGTACAACTAAACAGAGAATCTAGAATTTTCAGTTAAATAGAATAATGGGATGTTAAAATTTTACAGTTTACTTTACTTTTATCAAAAAAATTTTTAAACTTAAATACAGAAAATAAGTCAAAAGGAAAAATTTGCAAAAAGTTTTTTAAGAAGTCAAGCACACCTAGAATTAATATACATTCAAGCAAATCTCTTGTAACTCTGATATTTGTTTATGCCACTATATATTCACAAATAAAACTCAGAATAATGGTCCAAGGCACTAACAGAGCCTACTAAACAAAATACTAAAATGTTTAAAGTTTTTCCTCTAGAAAAAAAAAAAAAATTAAGACATCATTTTACATATATTTTAATCATTATGATCACAATAGCTTCTAGTTAAACTCTCAGAAACTCCGATTAAATATAACATCTCACTATTGTGATCCAAGAAACTGTAAACATTCTCTAAGGTTCTATTCTGGGCCTCTCTATACACCCAGTAAGCACTTCTCCCTTCTCAATACCAGCCACATCTACGTGAATGATTCCAAAATCTCTATCCCATCTCCACTGAACTACCTGTCAAAAACCTCAATTTATTTATTTTATATATATATATATATATATATTTGAGACAGGATCTTGCTCAGTCACCCTGGAATATAGGGGCGAGATCATAGCTCATTGCAGCTCAACCTCCTAGGCTCAAGCAATTCTCCCACCTATGTCCCAGAGTAGTTGGGACTATGTCATGCCTGCTAATTTTTAAATTTTTTTGTAGAGACAAGGTCTCACCATATTGCCCAGACTGATCTCAAACTCCTGGGCTCAAGTGATCTGCCTGTCTCTCTCTCAAAGTGCTGAGATTACAGGTGTGAGCAACCCTGCTTGGCTTAAAACCTCAATTTAAATAATTAAAGTGGGCCAGGTGTCATGGTTATGTCTGTAATCCTAGCACTTGCGGAGGCCAAAGCAGGAGGATCACCTGAGTCCAGGAGTTTCAGGTCAACTTGGGCAAAACAGTGAGACCTCATCTCTACTAAAAATAAAAAAGTTGGCCAGGAGTGGTGGTATGCGCCTGTAGTCTCAGCTACTCAGGAGGCTGAAGTGGGAGGATAGCTTGAGCCCAAGAGGTCAAGGCTGAAGTGAACTGTCATCACGCCACTGCATTCCAACCTAGGTGATAGAGCAATCCCCTGTGTCTTAAAAAATCATCAAAATGGAGCTTCATTATCTTTCTCTTCTGCTTCACACCTCTTAAACAGTCTGTTCCAAAGACCTCATTTCTGACAATGACACCATCATTCTGTCCAATTCCAAGGCTTCAGTCATCTCTGATCCCTTCCTTATTTTCATCTCTGGTATTCCATCCTATCAAGCCTGATCACTTATTTTGAACTGATCCAACTTCAAAGTGATCCCCCAATCAAACTATTTTTCTTCATTATCATTCTAGTTCTTTTGGCATTGTATTCTTCATTTGCATGTTTATTTTCTTACTTCAGGCCCTAATAATAAGTTGGCTTCTCTGCCTCATCTCTCCCCTCTTGGACTGTCTCACCCTAAATTCCACTGTCTCAGGACTGTTTTTGATCAAGTCACTTCCCTTGAACCTGCAGCAGAACTTCCTATAACATATTATATCAAAGTGACATCCTTCAATCTGAACTTTCAGGGCAATCCAGGATCTGGCCCCACACTGATTATCACACGTCTCACAACTATCCCGAAATCACCATCCACTGAACCAGGATAAGCATGTTAATACACCTGCCATGCTAAGTCACTTTCTTTTTCTACCTCTCCTGCCATGCTAAGTCACTTTCTTTCTTTATTCTGCCTCTCCTCTGTACACCTGGAATTGCCCTCCTCCTTGCCTTAGCCAACTCTTATTAATTCTTCAGGAGATGGCTCATGTCTCATCTCAACAATGAATCCCTCTGCTTATTATATCCTATATGGACTGTGTCTTTGATTTCTGTATGCATAATCAGTATCAAACTTCTCAGAAATTAATTGTTCTCTAATTGTTTCAGGTCTAAGCTTCCCAGGGTGGTCTCATCCATTCCCATGGTTTTAATCACAAACTGTAAGCTGAATTCCAAATCTAAATTTATATACTTGTCCTCTTCATTAAGATTCAGACTCATGTATCCAGCTGCTTCCCTAGCAGTGCCCCTGGATATCTAATAGGCAGCTCAGATTTAACATGTCCAAACAGAATTCTTACTTTTTATCAATGAGGCACACTTATCCTCTCCTGTCTTGCTCATTTCAGCTCCAATGTCCATCCAGTTCCTCAGATCAAAAAAAATTACAGGTGATTATCATTCTTTTTCCTACACATCCCATTTCAATCCAGTAGGAAGATTTGCTGGTATTAATCCCAAAATACACCCCAATCTATTTATTTTCATTACCACCCTAGCTCATTACACTCATCATCTCCATCTGAACTTCTCTAAGAGTCTTCCACCTGACCTCTCTGCTTCCACTCTTTCTCCTTTAGTGTATCCTTCACAGAGCACCCAGAATGATCTACTCTATGCCAAAATGAAATCATGTAACTCTACAGCTTAAAACTCTCCAATAGCTCCCTACTAGACTAAACAGACTAATAGACTCCAAACTCACTATGGCCTAGAAGGCCCTCCATAACCTGCCCCATTCCTACCTTTCTGACCTCACTTTCAACAATTGTCCATAATGCTTCGGGATCACTGGTTTCCTCTCTCTTGATATGTAACAAAGGGCTTCCCCACTGGCTGATACCTCTGCCTTGCTCTTCATCCACAGCATCCTTCAAATAACTACCTCCTCTCTCATCTTTTGAGTCTCTGATCAAATGTCACCCTCTCAGAGAAGCCTTTGACTACCATAAATAGTCACTCTCTATCCCACTGCCCAGTTTTACTTGATTCATATATGATACAGCGATAAGTGCTATCTCCTCCCACTAGATGCTGCTTCTGCTCTATGGCAGATATCAGGTAAAAATTTTCTATTTACAATTATAGTTTGCCTACTACAATCCTAGGTATGTAAGAATGCGAATATTTAGTGATTAACTTATAAATATCTGTATCTGCACAACTATAAAATTTCCTAGAGCCACATATAAATACAAAGAAACTGCAAAAAGGCTGCTGCTGACATAATGACTATTTAGTGTAAATTCAGAATGATATGATTCTTGGCTTGAACAGGTTTTCCTAATCACTCCTTTCTACCACAACCACTTAAACTTCATTAAAATGACAACCACTGGGCAAGTGAGTCAAATGAAGCAAACTGAAGTCTTACTTAATGTTATAATGTCCAGTTTTCAGCGTACATCTATCAGGAAGTTGAGCAAGTTTCCTCGAGAGCATTTTAAAATACTTTCTGCACTCCTGCATTCCTGTGCTTTGTTCATAATCAGTAGAAGCAGAAAGTGGCAGTCCATCTCTGACACGAAGGACTGAGGCAGATAAAATCATAGACATTTCAACCAACAGAGAAGACCTAAAACAAAATGAACAATTTGGGTTAGATAAAAATTAAAGCCAAACTTGATAAGCATATGCAAAAATGTTCAACTCACTAGTAATATAAGAATACTAATTAAAATGGCCAGGTGCAGTTGCTGATGCCTATAATCCCAGCACTTTGGGAGGCTGAGGTGAGCAGATTACAAGATGAGACATTTGAGACCAGCCTGGCCAACATGGTGAGACCCTATCTCTATTAAAAATACAAAAATTAGCCAGGCATGGTGGCGCACACCTGTAATTCCAGCTACTCAGAGACTGAGGCAGAAGAATTGCCTAAATCCAGGAGGCAGAAGGTTGCAGCGAGCTGGGATTGTGCCACGGCACTCCACCCTGGGCAACAGTGAGACTCTGTCTTGGGGCTGGGGAGTGGGGGTACACCAACCTGGGTGACAAGAGATCCTGTCTCAAAAAAACAATAAGTAAAATAAAAGTAGACTGCATTCTTTTATGTCTGGCCTCTCTAGGATACTAATAGAAATATTAGGAATAGTCTTTATTAATAGGTTGCAAATTTCATGTAGTCTTCAGTTATTCTTTGACAGAGCGATAAATATATGATCCACATTTTCTAGAATACATACTGAAAAAAGAACACAATTTTAAGTTCCATTTGTTTAACAAGCATTTACTGAATATCTACTGTGTGCCATCACCCCCCAAATTAGAGAAATTCAGATGAAAAGAGGAAACAACACATGTGTGTTGCCCATCACTTCACTCACTTCATTAACTGGAAAACTAAAGTTGGACAAACTTACATTTCAAATTTTTCTTTTTTTGAGACAGGGTCTGACTCTCGCCCAGGCTGGAGTGCAATGGCTTGATCTACACTCACTGCAACCTCTGCCTCCAGGTTCAAGTGATTCTCCTGCCTCATTCCCTCTGGATTACAGGTGCCCGCCGCTACACCTGGCTAATTTTTGTATTTTTAGTAGAGACGGGGTTCAGCTGTGTTGGCCAGGCTGATCTCAAACTTCTGACCTCAAGTGACCTGCCTGCCTCGGCCTCCCAAAGTGCTGGTATTACAAGCGTGAGCCACTTGGCCTCAAATATTCCTAACGCATACTTTAGCTTTTAACTAAAAGCAGAACACAGCAGTTATATTCCCTGTCAAAATTCTTATAAGGTTGTCAGAGGATTGTTTCTACTGATCCATAGTTAGGATTTTTCTTAGGGAAAAAATTAAACCTCTTCCTATGAGTATTTTGATTCAGCATCCAAACCAGTTGAATTTCAGCCTGACAAACTGGGATGAATGTCCAGTGATCAATGTCAGGCCTAACCAATTTGCAGACAGACTCCAATCACCTTAGGCTAAGCTGTCTCTCCCCAATTCAATGAACTACTTTTTTCCTTTTAACCACGGATTCATAATGTAGTTTGTTGTTGTTTTTAAACTAATCTTATCTGCACTGTGATAGCAGAAAAGAGAATCTGTCCATATCAAGCCCAAGCTAGGTTAGAGTATCTTTAAGGTCTAAGAAGGGTTGTGGTTGGCAAAATCCCAAGGAAGAACCAGTGGAACTGTGGAAAGCAAGAGGTTACAACAATTGCATGGGAAGATTTAGGACTTTTTTTTTTTTTTTTTGAGACGGAGTTTCGCTCTTGTTACCCAGGCTGGAGTGCAATGGCGCGATCTCGGCTCACCGCAATCTCCGCCTCCTGGGTTCAGGCAATTCTCCTGCCTCAGCCTCCCGAGCAGCTGGGATTACAGGCACGCACCACCGTGCCCAGCTAATCTTTTGTAATTTTAGTAGAGACGGGGTTTCACCATGTTGACCAAGATGGTCTCGATCTGTTGACCTTGTGATCCACCCGCCTCGGCCTCCCAAAGTGCTGGGATTACAGGCTTGAGCCACCGCGCCCGGCCAGATTTAGGACTTTTTAGCTTAAAAGGGCCATAGATAAATGTTTATAGCACTGGTCCATTTTTCCTCACCTTTAATACAGAGAAAATATTATACCCGCTTTAGACAGCAGCAGTTAACTCACAGGGAATCTGAATAGTGGCTCTTGTTTCCTCTCGCCATCAGCAACTGTTGAAGGAAAAAGCACAAGTTAGAATCTAGGTAAATCTGGGTAAACCTTTATGTAAAGGCTGAGGAAAATAAATTCCCATAATGCCAAACTACTATAGTAGTGTTAGCAAGTTCTTAGACCTAAGATAACAAGACATCTCTCTTCTTCAGGACCTTGTGTGGGTAATGACAACAGGTTCAATGTCTCAGGAAGGTATCTCTCAAAAGGTAATAAAGCCCAACATATAAGTAGATTTTGTATATATGTTCTAGCCAAATGCTTTCACAAATGCCATTTTTAAGATAAAAACATTCTATACTGGGGGTAAAAGCACTCATTTATTTTAGTTCATAATTTCCCAGTCTTCAGTCATCTAAATGCCACTTTCATAATTATCTTCATCCACCTGTACTATTTACCTAATATTGGTCTTTGAACTGACTTACTTTTCTTGTCCTCTATTTTTTAGCAATAATATCTGAAATCAGTTTTGAGGTGTCAGGTTTTTATGATTAAATGTACTTGTTTCATTCAAGTATGTGTGTGAACATTTTGGGAGAATTTTTTAAATGTTCATCTGCTAATCAAATTATCTTGCATATGTGACAGTACCAAAGTTTGAGAAACACTACCAATAAGGTACATGTTATTTTATTAAAAGTGGTAGCAGAGATCTGTGGGAATGTTGGGGGGGCAGTGGCAGTTAATCTGGACAGAAAGCTATACTAACTGTGATGCACAGGGAGGGTGCGGGGTAGATTGAGTGATAAAGGGGAAGAAATTTCTACCATTCTGCCTGTGCGCTTTACCTCACTAGTAGTTTTTGACACTCCTATTATGGGCGCTTGCACTGCACAGTATGTATAAGACCTCAGGCTTCACAATAGATTTTACTCACATCTAGGACAGGGCCAACAGTATATGCTCAAAGGTGTCAATCCCAACATTTGCATAGTGCCACATAGTCCACATTTGGATAGGTAGAACCTCCATTTTACAGATGAGGAAATGGAGGCTCACTTTCTCAATGTCACACTGCTAGTATATAGCAGAACTGGTTCTTCAATCTAAATTTCTAATATCTCTATACCACAATGCTTCATCAGTCTCCAAAAACCAACAAGAGGCAAGAAACCAGTGATACAGAAACTAGCTATTCATTTTAAAATAATAAAATAGCAGGTTATAATTTCTTTAAGAGGCAGTACAGTTTGGTAGTTATAAAGAGGACAGAATCTGGAGCCAGGCTTCCTGGGTCCTAATTCTGGCTCCACAATGCACCAGCCATGCAAATTTGGGCAAACTTTGACATATCTCAATTTTCACACCTACATATTGTGGCTACTAATGGTATCTATTTCATAGGCTTGTTTTAAAAATAATATTATCTATCTCATAGGATCATGTAAAGCACCTGAAACACTGCCTTGTAATATACTAAAAGCACTATATTAAGTATTTGCTATATTATTTACTGATTACTCTCTATGGACCACACACTTCATACAAATTACCTCATTTAAGCCTTCCAACAACCTGTGAGGTAGGTATTATTAGTTCCGTTTTACCTTTGAGGAAACTCAAGCCCAAAAAGCTTAAGGAATTTGTTTAATCCCTAAACTAAAAAGTGACAAAGTAGGGATTTAACTCAGGCCCAACTCTAACACTGTGAGACACTATCAACATATGCAAATTTCTTACTCAAAAACATGTAAAGGAAGGTCACAGGCACCCCTGTGATAGTGCCTGGGCCTCTTTCATACACCAACATAAGATATACTTCTATTTTAATCAGTTGCACACAAAAAATAAATTAAAAGCACCAAACAGATGTGATGTTTTCAACATAGGAAATACCTGAATGTCCCTATTAATTTAGGATACGGTCACAGGTGTTAACGTCAAATAATGAACTTTAATATACCAGAAATTGTAGGTACCACTTAAGGCATTGCCTGATCCCTTACAATCTTAGCATGTAACCAAATATAAATAACATGGAAAGTGAATTGGAGTTTTAAAAGTGGCTGTTCCCCCGATTGGAGATCCAACATCTCCAGTCTGGTGGCTGACACTTTTGCTCTGGGCTAGGCTTTGCCTTGGCTGAATAGGCATAGGAGGGACTGGTTCTCAAGCTCGCCACCTGCCCCAGGTGGATAATCCAGGAAACTAAGCAACAGGAGAAAAATTATCTTCAGCTGTATTCACTGGCAGAGAGATTCAAGCCAGCTGGGACTTGTCCTGTTCTTTCGGAGACCTCCTCCACTTGTGGAGCCAATTACTCAGGTCTCCCTTCCGCCATATCGTTTCCAAAGTGACTCTTGAGACAGGGTCTCAAGAAGTTTCTGTGAGCCAACGTGGGCAAATATCTGGGCTCAATGCTCACTCCATCCCCACAAGACGTAAACTAAGACACTGGTTCAAGTCCCATTCTGCCTAAAAGAAGTAAGAAACGCCACCTCAAGCTCTCGCGGGCCACTTACACAGGTAGATCACCGTGTTTCCGACATCTGGGGGCCAGGGAATCCCCACCACTACGCTGACAGCCAAGGGCGACTGTTCCTCCCCCTCAGATATTCCTCCCCTGGCTGCCCAATACCTGAGGCAGCACAGACAAAGCGCAACTGCCACCCGCGTGGCCCAACAGACCCCTCAAGTCGAAGGGGACGGGGTCCCCGCTTGCCCGCCCCTCCAGAGCTCCGCGGCCCCAGCTCCCACCCCAAAGGCACAGACTTGGCTCCTGCCCGTAGGGTAGGTCTTCAGTCCCGAGGGCGGAGGCCGAGGCTGTGGCGGGAGACCGGGAGAGGAAGGGGAGCGGCCGGCAGGCGTTCGAACGACCCCTAAGAAGGGAAGAGGACTGGGAGGGGCAGGGAAGTACCTGTCGAGCTGGGACCCGCCGCTCCGAGTGACGCGCCCCGCAATGCATTGTGGGGCCTGGGAGGAGCCTTTCGGCGAGGCTGCGGTGCGTCCAACGGGGCTCGCACACGCGGAATCTAACCACGCCCCCGTTCCCTCGGCTCGCCCAGGCCAATCGGGTTCTGCGGGAAGGCCACAACAACCCGCCCACTCCCGGGACCCGCCTTAGTCCCACCCCATGCAGGAGGGATTGGCAGCCTCTCTCGCACCTGCGCCAGAAAAGTACCCCGTCCTCTGTTGACACAACTGCCCTGACTTCAGAAATAGGGTCAGTCTCCCCCGCTCGCCGCCCTGTATCTGCAGGCATTTGTCTCTCACAAGCTGCCCTACAGCAAACATTATCAAAGGGACAGGGAGAAAAGCCCCCTCTGGGTGAGCAAGGAGAGGAGCTAGCCCCTTCTATTCCCGCACACATGAAGGAAACTAACCGTAGCAGAGAAGTGCCGGATGCAGACCCTGCGACCCCTTCCGGCCTTTGCATCGGTCGTACATTATTAAATAGGCATTTACTGACTGTTTACCATGTGCCAAGCACCGTGTTAAGCACGGGGTTACAGGAGTGGACGTAACACTTGATGGAATTTAAGACGTAATAGGAGCAAGAGACATTAAAGCACAAATAGTTACAGAATTATAAATTGTGATCAGTACTGGGAGGGAAAATTAGTGGGTGCAATGATGAATTAATTTTGGACTGTCAGGGAAGAGCCCTCCGAATAAGTGCCTTTTAAGCTGCAGACATATTAAAGAGCCTTAGAGAGTGTTCCCGGTCAAGGAAATATGATGTGTGAGGTTGTTAGGACATGACATAACTTCGTGTGCTCTAGGAACTAAAAGGAAGTCAATGTGGATGGAGTGTAGGGAACAAGGAGAAACTTTGCGCATTGACTTTAAGATATCTTCCAAAATACAGCCTGAAATCTGTAATGTGGCCAATAAGAGCCAGCGTGGTCTGGCCCTTGTCTCATCTCAGCCAAAGGTCAATGGGCAGCTCATAAAGACTATTATTAAGTAGATTCTTATTTGCATATTTAAGAATCACTCAAGCTGTTTGTGGGGAATAGATTGGAAGAGGGCAAGAAGGGCTGCTGGGAGGCCAGTTGGAAGCAGTTGCATCAGACAAAGCCAGAAATGGTGGCTTGAACTAGTGTAATGGGAGTTAAAGACAGAGGTGGATAATTTCAAGATATATATAAACCAAAGATGGTATCCAAGGGACTTACTAATAGATTGGTTTGCCAGAAAGGTCAAAAAAGAGGAATATTAAGGATGACTCCTTAAGTAACTAGATGGATTGAGAAGTCATTTACTGATTCATGGAACACAAAAGGAGGAGCAAATGGTTTGGAATGTTAAATTTGAAATGCTTATAAATGGACATGTCAAGTAGATTTGGATGTAAACCTAGAGTTCAGAAGAAAGGCCTGAACTAACATAAATTTGGTCCTACTCAACAGAAATGTATTCATATATTCACCAGAAAACATATGTATAAGAATGTTCATGAAATGAATAAATTTTAGAATATCCTCACTGGGCGCGATGGCTCATGCCTGTAATCCCAGCACTTTGGGAGGCTGAGGTGGGCGGATCACTTGAGGTCGGGAGATGAAGACCAGCCTGGCCAACATAGTAAAACCCCATTTCTACTACAATATAAAAAAATTAGCCAGGCATGGTGGTGGGCATCTGTAATCCCAGCTACTTGGCAGGGTGAGGTAGGACAATTGCTTAAACCTGGGAGGAAGAAGTTGCAGTGAGCCAAGATCATGCCACTGCACTCCAGCCTAGGCAGTAGAGTGAGACTCCATCTCAAAAAAAAAAAAAAAAAAAAGGAATATTCACTAATAGGATACTATAATACTATACACTGTGGGAGGTAGAAAAGTTCCTCTTCAAAGATTCCTTTCTTGTTTAAGAAAATTTCATAAATGTTAGAAATAACAGTTTGGGGCCAGGCACAGTGGCTCACGCCTGTAATCCCAGCACTTTGGGAGGCCGAGGCGGGTGGATCACGAGGTCAAGAGATCGAGAACATCCTGGTGAACATGGTGAAACCCTGTCTCTACTAAAAATACAAAAAATTAGCTGGGCATGGTGG